TGTATAAACCACTTCGAATACAATAATAAATGTAATAAAAACACGCTTAGATAAATAATTACGTGTAAAGAAGCGTACTTGCTACGTTTCTTCCCTACCAAACAACCAAGAAAGCAAGCAATGCGTACAATGGAACGCGCTGTCTCAAGCCCTTTTGTTTTGTCGCTCCGCCCGCGCGATTTGTGATACTAAAAATATGTTTTTTTGATGATGATGACTTTATTATGTCTTGTAGTTTGGAAAGTCCTGTTTCATTTATGATAATCCTTCCTCCCCTCATCCTTTGTTCCAATGTAGAAAATCAGTATAGGAACACAGTTTCTTTTTTTTTATATAACAAAAAGATCGAAAAGCTCGAAAAAACCCGGTCTACGCGGGTTTTGACTATACTATGACCCGAAAACCCGGGTTTTTAAAATTGGTCCGGGTTTCGATGCCTTAGTTGGGCCTAAACCGTCGCCTGATAGGAGAACCGTGCCCAGCAGTGGGGAGTATAAATGAGTTGACGACGATGATAACGACACGGTCTACATTAGATTATATATATGTATTTCTGTGTCGTAATATTTTTTTAATTTAACGGTAGGTACTATATTAATACAACATAAGGAACGACGTCAGTATTTCAACATTTCGACAAACTCTGTGGTGTAACGGTTTGCATTGTGTGCCTTGTATGAAGAGGTCCCAGATTTGATTCTCTGTAGGACTAATTTGGAGAATGAAGTATGCTAAATTGGTTCTGGTGGAGTAAATTCCGTTGCAAATTCTGTTGTTATTGGCACTTTTTTATTATTAAATAAATACTTAAAAGTGTGCCCAGTCTGGATGTTATAAACTTAGGCCTACTAAGTTGAAGGAAATGACCATAATATTTCTTTATTTAATTAAGCCCCAGCTTAAAATTTGTGAATATTATGTATTTGTATTATATTATTGACAGATGGCGAAGAAGGAACGGACACTGTGTACAATGAGTTAGCGAGCACGCAGGAGGACGAATTCGAGTCGGAGGAACAGTGGAGGAAACAGAGGCATGAGAGAGAAATGTTCTTGAAGCAAATGGTAAGAACCTTCAGATTAAAGCTTAAAAGATCAGCCGACTTTCGAATCCATTTCTTTCGATTAACTAAATTAACGAGATACAGACATATTATGACAGTCGAATGATAGAGTGATTTAATATTTATATAGGACATCTCTAGTCGGCGATAGCAGCTGTAAAGTTACCGCTCTGAGTGAAGAAATACTAATTAAATTAAATAATTTGTCACAGATGGGCGGTACGGAAAAAAAAAGTTGTTTTGGCGAAAAACAAAGATTTGCAAGAAGCACGTAGAATAATTCATAAGGTCTGCTGTTTCGTTCTGTGGCTTAATTGGCAGAGCATCTAGCACGGATTGCCTGGGGGTGCTGGTTCGAATCCAGCCGGATCGAATGAATTTTTCTAAGTGTTCGATCTTTGTTAATTCAATAAACTTAAAAATAGGACATAAATTGTTATAATAAAGAGCGACAGAGACGCTACGCCGCCTAACATTCTTCGAAAAAAACAAAAACAATCTTGTACAAACAACTCTAAATTTAAGATATATACACATATGTTTTCGAACCTCATCCTATGTCATTAAATATTTATAATAATGTATTAATATATTTAAAACACAAGTAAACTTTAATAAATTTATAAAAAAATTGAAGAATATATTATGAAAAATATATAATATAAAATACATCTTAAAAATGTTTGAACTTTCTAATTATCGTATCCACTGCTATCTAATTACCGTTTCCATAAAATATTAGTATATTTATAACTCGAAAACTACTTTGTCTATTCTAATCATTGACTTACAAATAAATGGACGACGGGTCTTATACAAAAACCACGAAAAAAATGTCCCAAGTCAACCTATTCGAAATTTAAATTGTAATGTCATCGCAGTATCGCGCTGTCAGTCGAACAAATGAAGACTAAAGCGGAGTTTGGCGCTCTGTATACGATTTTAGCGCCTTACAAGTGCGGACACTTTTTAGCGCGGACCCGACGTCCATATAATTGTAAGTCAATGATTCTAATGCCATTTAGACATATTGATAGTTAAGCTTAAAGTAGTTCATATTTCAATGTTATTGGGCACATTAAGCGAGAAAAAATAATGGCTACGGTAATTAGGCTGAGGACACCGAAATAGTTACGGTAATTAGGCAGAGAACACCCAATGAGAGAATGGCCGAATGATACAAATACGGTAAATCCATACAAACGTGGCTAGAGGGAAATACTTCCGTTTGCCGTGATCAGTATTTTCTAATTAATAAATTCTGCATATTTGTAAGTTAAGCACCAACTCATCTTTTAGGCGAATGTGTGCAGGCCTCGTTCACATCTTTATTTTACATTCGGTGACATTGTGGGCACAAATATGTTGGACTACTTAAATTTAAAAAAAAGGAACCGGACGTAATTTGCTCTTATGCACAATACAATACTACAGAGTGAAAATAGAAATCACACTTTAACTAGCTATTATATATGTATATAATATATATAGTATATGTAATTAAAAATATTTATTTTTTAGCAACAACAACAAGAAGAGAACAACTTAAATGCAAGCGTGAATAGAACAACGATAATCAAAGCCAACCTGAACTCGAAGACTATGTCTAGTTTACTTCTAGAAGTAAACAGTAGTAAAACTGAAAGTGAAAGCCCTGCTCCAGTGCTTGAAAAAAAATCTAGTAAGGATGTACCTAATCCAAAGAAACCCTTGGCCATATACCAGGTAAGATTTTAATTAATTCATAGCGACATTTTCAACACAACAGGGAAGCCCAGTCTCACTGTCTACAAAAATAGAGCGGACACCATTGACTTACAAATAAATGGACGACGGGTCTAATACAAAAACCACGACGAGATATATAATACAAAAACCACGAGACTAAAGCGGAGTTTGGCGCTCTGTATACGATTTTAGCGCCTTACAAGTGCCGACACTTTTTAGCGCGGACCCGACGTCCATATAATTGTAAGTGAATGGCGGACACGTTTCTTTTGCCAATAGTACTTTTTTGATAACTCCATGCTCCATTGTCAACCAACTGATGTTTTGTCAATAATTAATTACCAGCCAAAAATAGCAACACTTTTTTTTATTATGTTTTAGCAAAGTTATCACGGATCCCTCTTAAATCGTGGCCGGGGCGCCCTAGCGCGTCTAGCTGCCCTGGCGACGCCACTGGCTGTAGACGATGACGCGCCAAAGGTCAGCTCCCTCGCGCCCTCCAGCAAAAGGAACTTTGTCTTCGCCGCTGTTACTCCTGACCAAAAAGAACCTAAGGTAATCTATCGTTGCATTTTATTATACAAAAAATTTGTTATTTAACGAATACATTCTCCTATTCTAGGGTTCAATTTACATTGCGGCGGAACGGAATGGACCGGAAGCGTCAATTTCGCCTCGCTGCGCGATAAGGCGCGCGCGACCTCTGGAATGCATTCCGGAATGCTCGAACACTCGCGAGCTTCCTCGCGACTGCGCCTTGAGGCTGTAGTATTCCATCGACGTTTGACGTTCTTCCGCGGATTCGCCAAGCTTCGTCGCAGCTGTGGAATGCTCGCGAATGCGCGGCATTCTCGAGCATGCGTGAGAATTCCGCGTAAGACGCGTGACGTGATTTTTGGCTCGTATCTACTTTGTACGTTACACAATTGGCCAAAAAGGGTAATGACCCTATATACACTATCGTTACAAAAGTTCGCTTCCATTCCGTTCCGCCGCAATATAAATTGAGCCTAAAACCAAAAATTTTCAGTTTTTAGCTATAAAGGTGGCAGAGTGCAGAAAAAACTTTCATAGGTTTCACAAACGAGGCATTACGGCAAAAACACCTTTAAAACCAAAAACAAAGATCTGCAAAAATTACATAGAGAAATTCGTAAAGTCTGCTGACTCGTTCCGTATCTCAGTTGAGACAGCGGTAGACTCGATTTGGCGAAAACTCCCTGGAAAAAATCAAACTATTATAGTGGAGTATTTTTACAAAAAGTATATGAATATCATGGTAGTCAAAACGTTATGATGTTCAATAAAATAAATACCAAAAATTTTCAATTTCCAGTTTTCATATATAAATCGATGGAACATGTTCTTGTGCGCTAATCTCCAATACATTTACAATAAATCGTCTGTTTAAAGGTAAAACTACATAATTGACATTTCTACAAAAAGTCTTTATATAGCTATGGTAAGAAACTCACTATCTTTCTGCAGGTGAAACTCAATAACAAAAAAGCTATAAACTCAATAAGTGGTTTTATCTGAATAAAGATGGTGATTTTCTTACAACAGGTAAATAATTGGAGATTTTTTGTGGATTTGTGGAATGTCACTTATGTGGTTTTACCTTTAAGCAGACAAAATGCTTTTTTTATCCATTAATGCGTCTAAGCCCCTAAAGTTCATTCATACTTTTAATATGATTCACATGTAGTTTCGATTAAAATAAAACCATTCATCTCCATCAAGGTTTTGTATTGTGTTTTACAGATAGCAAAAAGGAAAGCCGAAACAAATGTTGATACGCCGCGACTTGTGAAGAAAATGAGAACACAAGACAAACAGACACAACCAAGAAGTAGTTTATTAGATCATATTAAAATTTAATGAAGACTTAAATAACTATACTTAATTTAAATCGTTTAATTTTAAAGTTATGACATACTGTATTCAGAACAATATAAACAACTTTTATTAAGGGACCCCTCTCATATCGCGAAAAACATCTACTGTTCTATCTTTTTATCAAGTCTTTGGCGTGGAGTTAAATCCCTGACGGCGACTAATAAACCAACAACTCACAGTTGTACAATACAAAATGAGCATTACTAACTAGACCAATATGTATGGAACATCGTATGGAATAACAGATTAGCAATGTAAAGATCTCCATGGTAAAAGTTTTTCATGTGGATATTATTTTCCGTTAAGGGTAACTTTTTCGTTTATTCCCACTAGTTCTGTTGTACAGAGACCGTACCATGAACTCTTATTACAGTTCAGTATAGGCTCGTAACGACAAAAAAGCGGGATGGTGATATACACTTCATGTAGCGCTGTCCCACAACGATTCATTTTGGGTCCTAAACTGAATCGTAATAATATTTCATGGTAAGGCCCCAGTTCTGTTCAGAACTTCTTTTTTCCCATTTGTTCTGTTAATAAATAGATGGTTTTCTTCGCAGAAGTACTGAGAATTTTCTCTCCCACTAGTTCTGTTGACAGAACTAGTGGTACTTTTCTTCCCATTTGTTCTGTTGGTAAATAGACAGTTTTCTTCACAGAACTACTTACAATAATTTTTACGCTCCGATAACAACCGAAAATAGTAAGCGAAGGCATTCTTTAATGTAAGAACGAAATTATAATTAACAGAGAAACTTGCTTAGTTATTAATGTAATTTAAAAATATATGACTAGCTACTAGTTATTATAGCATAAATATTGTACCTATAGTTAGATAATTTAAAAAAATAAGAATCCGGGCTGGTACTACACCAGAATGAAAAGGACTTACTTTGAAAATAAAACTTCAAAAACATCATTACAATGTTTTTTTTTTTAAATTAGCTTACAAATAAAATACATTTTTAATCTGATTGAATTTCTAATTGAAATTTAATTGATAAACGCCCAACACTGCTCAATAAATACATTATAATAATATAGAGGGTGTAATCATTAAGTGTGCCCAGGCGATTATTGCGTAAATATAAGAGATATCAAAAAGCTTTAGATTGTCGACACATTAACTTTTTAAATAAAACTAGTAAAAACCAAAGTTTTTACGTTGAACTCTCTCATACATTTAATATGACATTCGTAGGGAGGCTTTAGTTGACGTACTATAAGAGGTAATAACAGATAATAAAACTACTATACATAAAGTGACAAAATTAATAAAATTGACAATTTTTTTTACTGCTGACACTCAGTTTCTTATAATAATAATTTTATTGTTTTAGAAGACAGGAATCTAGACAGCAGAAGTAGGTGAACATTTAATTAAGTTTGATAAAATGTTCATTTTGTATGAAAAAAGTTTTTATTAAAATTTGACCAAGTTCTGTTGTCCCGATATTTTCGTCCCATAAAATGACATGATCCTTACATGAAACTGAGTCGATGAGCGATAAAAAACATTTGATCAGTTTTATTAATTTTTATGGACAACTCACACTTGATCAAATAATTGACTTTATATTTTTATTCAATCATAAGATAGTTTTATTACTTTATTCATAGCAGTTTTGTTATCTGTAAACTTATTGTTACGTCTTAAAGTGGTTAACTAAAGCTTCTTTTTGAATGTCATATTAAATTTATGGGAGCGTTAATTGTTGTTAAAATTTGGGATATTTTAAGTTATTTATGTCGATTTACTCATTAGGTTACATACTTTCTATATCAGTTGAAAGCTTTTTGATAGCTCTTATATTTATGGAATAATCGCCTGGGCACACTTGACGATTACACCCTGTATTGAAGAATGCTTTTAATGAATGACTTATAAACTAGTAGTCGAATATAAATTATCTATTATTAAGTAATAATAATCGACAACCTACGCTGTCCAGTGGGTTGCATATTGAGTTTCATGGTGTCGCCATCTCATGTCCCGGGTTCGATCCCCGCCCGAGTGAATATATCTAACTTTTCTGTACTGTTTCGGGGTCTGGATCATTGTAGTATCGTGGTTTATCGATTTCCGGAACACAAGTGCTTTAGTTACTTACTTTTCGGATCAGAACGTATGTGATGTATAATATTTACATTTATTTATTTAATTCTCGAATCCACAACACTTTATGGGCCACTCTGTCATTTGTACAAGTGTAGAATCAAATACGAAAGTTCTTGAATGACCTAAAGACATAAAACAATCACAAATTCATCTAATTAAGCGTTTATTTGGACACAGGGTAAAATATCTGAACGGCGCCTTTTTGAATAACTTTAAACTCTACGTAAAGGCGTAAAATACAACAAAGTACGTACAAACGGTTTAAGATGCCCATTACATTACAAAAAATTACAATAGATATACAAAATATTTTTAAGTTATAGATCCAAAATATAGTAAAGTAGTCTTAGGGTCGTATTCCAGAACTCTACTTAATGCTCAAGTCAGGACTTGAGTGTAGAGGCTTTCTAGTAAATGTAAAGCATGTATGTGCTTCGTACGTCACATAGACAACTATATACAGTACGTCATTGCTTAGAATGAGCTCCACACATTTCCGCCGTGTATCTTTGGAGCCAAATAATAATAATATTGAGCACAAACATATATCCTAGTATCCGCACCGAGACAATTTAAAAAACTTACCAGGAAATAGAGCTGGTATTAATACAAAAATTTCATGTTGGTAGCACAGTGATTTCCGTTGTCTATTTCTTTCTTTCTTTTGTTCAAATTCTTCTATCCATCTCGCTCTCCGACCAATCGGGCGTCCACCGTCAGTTCGCCGGCCGGTTGCTTGCCGTGTTCTCTTGTTGTAATTTTTTCAATCAATGCGTTTTCTCGTGGTGCGGGTCGTAGCGTAGCGTGGAACAAATTTCTAGTCAAAAAAAATAAAGGATATTCGCGAAAGTACTAGGGCAGAAACAGTGCTGAAGTGTCGAAATGGCCAACGAGAACAAAGAAATTGGTGACATCGTGAAGAAATGCAAAATTTTGCTGTTAGACATCGAAGGGACAACAACATCGATCAGCTTTGTTAAGGTAGGTCCGACGGCTGACCGGCCGGCGCAGCGTTTCATTTATTATATGGAAAAGCTCATTTGATATGTATTTTCTATCTCGTGTAATTTGTTGTAATTGATAAAATGTAATTTGATAAAATTTCTTGAATGGTGGGCAAAATGGTCGCATTTTCGATTTGCAATATGGAGGACGGATTCAAAATGGTACCCTTTTCATCCTCCAATTTCATTGTACTCAATTTTTTTGCAAAGAACGTTCCACGTGGTAATAATTGAAATGACTTCGATGTTAGTTGTTTCCAAAATTTACCTAATACAATTTCGGAAGGGTCATTACTAGTTTAAAATTTTTTATACATCGAGTTGTTTATACATTTATTTATAGAATAACTGCAGATAGTTGTTACGTAGACCACCGTGTTATCTGGAGGAAGTGATAGATCTAAATTCCAATGACGGTAACTTGATTAGTTCGCCAACCGGCAAGAACAGCTGTTTCGAGCAGCTGGCTTTGGAAAAAATGTGGAACAGTTAACTGTCCTGTTTGAAAAGGCGTCAATATCACATAGGCTGTCTCTGTCACACTCGTGATTGATATGAATTATAGAGATAAGAAAATGCTTGAGGTCTCTTTCGATTAGTCGTGTAGCATGTGTTGTGTTGGCAGCATTGGGCCTTTGACTTTGCACTGCAATGACTGCGAGTTTTGTATTGTTGACTGCGTGTAGTGTTCGTTTGATACTTTTGATTTAAATTAATTCTCGCTCTTACCTGTTTCTTACCGCACTAATTTACAAAGTCTGGTTAGAATGACTGATAAAAATATATGCTAACTAGTCATGGTAACAAATAATTCAGTTCTTAAATACTATGGCACATCCTCATTTTAGTATAGAATTATGAAAAAAAGGGTACCTACGTGTGCCTACAAAAAGAAATGGTAGGAGTATGTGAAGTTGTCTACCCTCATGCTCAAACAATTTATTGAAACTAATCAGGCTAAGAAAATTCTGAAGCTCCTTCCTGTCTTCTATCTTGATAGGAATTTATGCATAGAAATATGCAATACCTTATTGTGTTTTATCCTTTTGTCTGTGTTGTTATAGATAGGTATTTATTATATCAACAATAAATCTAAGTATACATGGTACAAAGGTATTTATACTCTGTAAAAATTTAGCAAGATTAGAATTACAGGTTGGCAAAACTAAGACTTACAGGTTGGCAAAATTAAGACAACATAAATTTGTAGCAGCTTCTTACAAATGATATTTTTTTAAATATCGCAAAACAACAATTATTCTACATGTTTTTATATTACCACCCATTATCATTAGGATAATGAAATCAACAACTCATTGTAATATAAGTAGACTATATTTATAGTCTTAACTGCAACATGTGATGTATATTGCTTGGTTAGCAATTAACTTTTGATTCTGCACAGCAGTGAAAGTGTTGTATAAATCACCATGGGGAAAAAATAGTCAATTGAGGATATGTAGTAGTTGGTGGTTGGTGCAACGGGCTGGTATCCGCAACTCGACGACAAAGCGCCTATTTTGAGGATATACACTGATTAGTAAACGATGTGAAAACAAAATTCCTAAATATTTTTACAATAGAAAAACAAAATACAACCTTAAAATTTTATGAGAAAACCGCTTTATTCAATAGGTACTTTATATATTAAATATTTTTGTATCAACTGACCTAAATAGAATGCATATAGTACACAATATACATTTTTCAAAGGGCTTTAATTTAATTTGTAAAAAAATTCTGAATGCAATTCTCTATGCAATTGGGCCCAACTATTATAAGAATGTCAGCCTATTGAGTCACCTCAGGA